GTGTGTGTGTGTGTGTGTTTATCCAGATGTAAAACTGAGGAAAAAAAACTGTCAAATCTTTCAACAACAACAACCAACCAACTAAACAATGAAGAATATATTCAATATTCAAAAAAAAACTTGGATTTCTTTCTTTGGAAATCATATTGGATGCCTATATATGATGATGATTATTCATTCATTTTGGTCCAAACATACACACAGACAATTAATTTGAATTTCAAAAAAAATTCTACGCCTTCTTTTCTGATATTTTTTTTTTTTAGTTTTCTTTAGTTTCTTGACAAGATCTTCTTTACAATCACTTGTTATTATTATAAATTCAAAGTAAAGAAAGAATGAACAAAATTTTTTTTGTTGTCAACTTGGAAAACGAAGCGAAAAAGTTTCATTTTTTTTTTCTTGTTTTGTTGCTAAAATTGGAAAGAATCTCTCTTACATTCAATTCAATTGAATACTGGAGAACAAAAAAAACGGAAAGGGGAAAAATTCACAAATGCGATTCCCCTCCAATTCATTCACAGAATGAGAATTGGAAACAAAGATTTTGTTCGATAAAAAAAAATATAGTTCGTCCATATTTGGTCTAGGGGGGAATGAATGAAAAAAGTTTCAAGAAAAAAAAATGAAATGAAAAAATAATTGTTGTCGAATTCAATGTTCGAAATTTTGATAGAAAAAAATAAAATTAAAAGAAAATGGTGGTGGCTGGGGGGAAAAAACGAATGAAATTGTGAGAAGATCTGTAAATGAGAATCAGAATTGAAAGTAAAAGAAAAAAAAATCAAATGAATTTAAATCGAATGCGACATCGGAGAGAGAGAGAAAGAAAATCGAATCTGGATGCAACGAAATAATAGAAAATTTTTAAATAAAAGTTTTTTCTCATTGGAAAAGAAAGGGGTGACATCCAGAAATTCTTCTGGATGTGAAAAAAACTTATCATCTGCCTGGTTGTTGTGTGCGTGTGTGCAGGGAGCATCACATAGCGACACAATTAAACTATAGAAAAAAGTTTCGTAAAAAACCAAAACCAAAAACACAGTGTCTATGTCATTTAATTGAAAATTGAGAAATGAAAAATTCATTACATTTCCATGGAACAAAAATAATGAAATAAAGATGCATCATCGATACGGCGGAACAATTCTGGCGTTATTCTATTGCAAAAGTTTACCAAACAAAACAAAAAAAACTTAAATCACTGTTTCACTTGTCAAACGAATGTTTTTTTTCTTTTGGAATTCAAAATCAATTATTATTTTCTCTGTTTGTGTATTTTTTAGGGGTATTATTGTTTTGTGTGTGTGTATTTATAAAATGGCTAAAATGAAATTGAATTAAATCTTTAAAACCATACAGACACACACACACAGAGCAAACAGAATTTCAAATTCATTTTAAGCTTTTTTTCCCCTCTATTGATGCAATCATTTTTTCCCATTCAATATTTTTCAAAAAAACAAAAACTGACAAGTCAAACAAACAAACAAACATCTGTATTGAATCAAATACTGAAATGTTTGTTTGTTTGTTTGTCTGGTTTTTCGTATTGTTGAATTAGTTGATCAGTGAATAATGTTGATTGATTAGTCCAGAATCCAAATTGAAAACATACCTGTCTAATTAATGATGCATATGTAAATGGTGGTCGTACTTCATTTGTACGATAAAATTGTCGATTACGTGTAATTTCTGGAATGGAAAAAACCAAATAGTAAAATCAACAAAAGTAAAAGCAAAAGTAAAAAAAAATACCTTCAGAAATATCAATATTATTACGATCAGCAATACGACGACGTGTATTTTCAGGTAAACAAAGATCACTATTATGATTATTATTATTATTATTATTTGTATGATGATTTTTATTACATTGTTTTTTAACTTTTCCATGTTTATGACCAGTCGATGCTGATGTTTTACCGGTAGTATTAGTTGTTGTCGATGTTGTTGTTATTGCGTTTGTTGTTGTTGTTGTTGTTGTTGCGGCTGTTGTTGACGTCGTTATCGATGATAATAAATCATTTTTATGATTTTTCATATCCAAATCATCGATTATTGATTGTGAATTAGATTTCAATAATATTGGTGATGATAATTGACCATTACGATTCGATAATGGACTGGATTTCATTGCAATCGATTGATTTTTTACGTTTGAAGATGTTTTTCCAGTAGCAGCAGCAGCCGATAGATTCAGGATATTCGATTCATTATCATCCTTATTTTTATTCGGATTTCGATCAGAATTTCTTCGTTTTCGATTCATTGATATTGAACGACCACCATTATGATGATTATGATGATAATGATCAATAAGTGATGTTGCTGTTGATGTGGATGATAAAAAATTTTCCGAATGATTTGAACTAGTTGGTGATGATAATGATGATGATTTATTATTGAATAAATGATGACTAGATAATGTTGATGAATGTTGATGATGTAAATGTGGATGCGGATGATTTGGTGATAAACCTAAATGATGATGATGATTATGATTATTAATGGAAGAAGTATGTAATAATGGAATAGCTGGTGATAAACGATGATTATTATGATGATGATTATGATGATGATGTAATAATGAACCATTCAATAATTGTTGTTGCTGTTGATGTTGATGATTATTATTATCCAAACCATTAGCAGCCAATAATTGACTAGAATCACTACCAACACCACTATTAGCAATCATTGCTGCATTTAATTCTTCATGTTCTTTTAGAAATTTTAATACAGTTTGTAAATTTGTATTACCGGTATCATTTGATGACGATGGTGATGATGATTTATTATTATTATTATTATTATTCATTGACAATTGTTGATTCTGTTGTTGAGAATTATTATTCTGTAAATTATTTGTAGTTGTAGAATTATTTGCTGCAGCTGCAGCTGCAACTGCTGCAACAGCAGCAATTCTTAAAGAATTTTCTGTTGCTGATGCTGCTGATGATTTTAATGCTGGTGATAATGACATTGATGATAAAGATTTTCTATTCACAACAGAATCATCATCATGATCATCATCATCGTTATTATTATTATTATTATTTTCATTTAAATGAATATTGCCACCATTATTATTATTATTAGCAGAAGAAGCAACAACAACAGCCGTTGCTGCAGCCGCATCATCTTCACTAGCATCAATATTATTATTATTATTATTATTTGACGTTATCGTTGTCGGTAACGTCGTTGCCGTTGTTGTTATTGTTTCGGCTGTCATTGAATTATTATTTGTGTTGTTTTGGGTGACAGCTGCTGCTGCTGTTGCTGCTGCTGATGTTATCATTGCTTTTTGTTTACAATAAAGATGTTGTAACATTGCCATCAATATATCTCTTTCTTTTATCAATTGTGATTCTAATTGTTGTACAATTTGCATCTGTATACGTGCTTGTGCTGTACTACGATCATCGAAACCATGTTCATTTGAAAGATGTTTTAAAAATATTGCCATATCATCACAATATGTTTCACATCCAGGCCATTTACACAATCCATGTTGATATAATGTTGATTGACCAGTATAAATAGCCGAATCATTATTATTATTATTATTATTAATCATTAATTGATTATCATCATTACGATTACCATTTATAATCGCTTGATTATTATTATTAGTATTGTTAGCAGAAATAATTACATCATTTAATAATAAACTATTTCCACCAAAACAACTATTAGCTAACATTACAGTTAATTCCTGGTTTAATTGTTCCAATGATTCAATTGATTGTTGTTGTGATGATAGTGATGATGGTGAATTTGATGTTAAATGATTTGAATGATGATAGGCAGATTGCTGCGGTTGCTGATGTTGAGATGTTGTTGCCTGTTGTTGTTGTTGTTGTTGAAGCAAATGACCAGAATTTGTCGATATTAATGAATTTCGACCATTCATCAATATCGATGATGATGATGATGATAATGGTGATGAATTAGAATTAGTTATGGATGTTGATGAATTATTTGGTGAATTAACTGATGATGATACTGCAGCTAATGCTGCTGCAGCTGCTAATGAATTACCTAATGCTGATGATAATCCAGCCGCCAAACCATTAACAGCATTCATATTGAATTTATTTTGCTGTTGTTGTTGTTGTTGTACAGCAGCAACAGCCGCTGTTTGATTTGTTATATTAGCTAATACGAGATCTAATAATTCATCTTGACTAAAATTTGATGCATTTGGTACTGTTTTAATAAATTCCTGTATAATTGGTTGAAATGAATCTGGGGTAATTTTGTTCAAAAAACAGAATTTCCGTTATTTACAAGAATTTCTTTCACTGTCATAATAAAAACAAACTTACTAAGTAGATATTGACGATGTGATGATAGTTGTAATTGTTGCATAATTTGTTGTTGTTCCATTTGAAGTTGTTGTCGTAATTGTAATTCTAATTGTCTTGAAAATGATGAAGGTGATGATGGTGGTGATTGTTGTTGTTGTTGTTGTTGTATTGATTGATTACGATGATGATTATGATGTGATTTAAGATTCAAATGTGCCATTTTTGTTTTCAATTGTTGTTGTTGTTGTTTTCTACGTTGTTGTTGTTGTTGTTTTTCGGAACGTATATTATTATTCGTTATTGACATGACGAAATTATTTATTCTGGTTATGTTTTACTGAATGAAATCCAAAAAAAAAGAAGAGAAAATTGGGTTAAAAAAATTGATCAAATGGATGCGATTTTGTTGCTTTCAAAGGCGTTTTTTTTGTGCACCGAAAAGGAAAAATCAAACAAGAAAAAAAGAAAATTTAATAACAATGCGGTGATGGCCAAAAGAAAATCAGTATGGTTTTTTTCCTTAATTCTTGTTTGTTTGCATTCAAAAATTATAGTGGTGATAAAATTATAACTGTAAAAGAAAACTTTTTTGGGCAAAAAAAATGATAATAACGGATATTTATAAAGTTTTTTGTTTGGCTCGGTGCTTGTTTATAAATGACGTTTATAAATTATAAAAAAAAATCATGTTATTTCTGAAGAAACAGAGAAAAACTAAAAAAAAGGAAATATCATCATCATGATCGATATGAGATACAAACAACAACAACAACAAATTATTATTGTTTTTTGGCCGGTATCATCCTGGATACAACCAGAAAAAATACTAATAATAAATAACAAATGCTGAACAACAACAAAAACTTTATTGACAAATTATCAAACACAGAGATGATAATGTTGTTGTTGTTTATGACAAAATAAACAAACAACAACAACAACATAATAATCATTATCTGACAACCAAACAAACAAACAAACAAACTAGAAACAGGAACTTAATTTGGATCAAATTTTGTTGTCCTGTGATCAAATGATGATCAATATTATTAACCACACGATGGCGTTACCTGGTGATACACGATGATGATGACCGTATTTTTTTGTTGTAATTTTTTTTTGGAAAAATGATTTTTTGGGTCAAATTTTTGTTGTTGTTGTTTGTTTGCTATAGCAGAACATCAACGTTTATACATTGTAATTAATTTTTCTGGTTGATTAACTTGATCTGTGTAAATCGTATTTGGATTTTTGAAAAAAAAACCGCAAAATCAATCAATCAATCAATCAATCAAGAACGCAAATTTTTCTTCGCCAGAATATTTCTACACTGGGTATTAATGTGTGTTTATCGTCAACCGCCATCATCATTGTTTTGTTTGATTCAAAAAATAATAATGGAAAAAAGTTTCAATTCTTGAAAAGATAAACAAAACAGAAAAACAATTTTTTTCCCATTTTGAAATGGTCGAAATAAACAACAACAACAAAAGAAAATTCCAATATTCTGACAGAAAAAAATGCCACACACAAATAGAAACACAGAAAGATATCAACAAATGTATTTTTGAACGAAAGAAAAAAAAACCAAAAACAATTTTAGGCAACAAGAAAAAAATTGATGGAAAATTATTCATTTTAAACAAAACCGACTAAAACAACAACAACAACAAAATATCATAAAATTTATTACACAATTTAGTTTCTTTCACCACAAGACGTATCCATCCTATCCATTTATAATAATGGAATATATTTGTATATTGTATGTTCATCGTCGTTGATTTAAGAAGAAAAATGCAAAATTCAAAACAAAGAAAAAATATATTTATGGAACTGAACTGGATGATGATGATCCGCATATACATACATATACATAAATAATTAGTCAAAAACAAATTATCACAACAGGGATGCGCGCACCCGAATCAAACCAAAACAAAAAAAAATTCATATTTTCAATGATTTGGTGAACATCATCACATCCACCATTTAACCACCATAAACCAGAAGCCATCATCATCATCATTATTCAGAAGCTATCAATGAATATACATTGGGCCCACACACTGATAATGTACGTCATTTTTTTTTCTTTTCCATTGATTTTCTGTTTTTAATGTTTTTTGCTTTGTTTTGTAAATTGAATTTTTTAAAAAAAAATTTAAAATAAATAAAAATTTCAATTTTCAATAACTGTTATTTCTTTCTTTCTAATTTTGTTCATTTGACATTTTGAAAAAACGTTTGAAAAAAATTTCTATTTTGTATGAAAAATTGTTTATTTTCAAGATAAAAAAAACCAAGTAAAGTCAATCAAATATCAATGGGAAAAAATGGATGTTTTTTCATTGTTATTTCAAAACAAACAAAACAAAACAAAAAAATCCAAAACATCTGAATAGCAAAAGACCTTGAACTAATGAGCAACTTACATAATGCAAATATGGCAAATATGCGGATTGGGATTTTGAATTGAATTGAACAAAAATCCCTGGTTTCTCTGCTGGTTTGGAAAGTGTTAATTATCATCATCATCATAAGCTTGATAATAACAAACAAACAACTATATAGCTTTGAAAAAAATTTTATGACCTAACCCTTTTTTTTCTACCCGGTCATGTCATATATTTTCTTATTGATTATTGGTGAAATCTCTAGACTCTCAGGCTTGATAATGTTATTTTTTTCATCATCATCATCATTGGATTCGACCAAAAAATATAATGTTTAATGAATGAAATGGATAAAAAAACAACAACTAACCATCAAGCAGCATTGAAGAGATGTTTTGTGAACGATAGTGTGGGGCAATATTGAATTTTTTTTTTAAAAATGGCCTCATGGGTGACAATGAGAATCATTGATTAGTTGGTTGGTTGGTTGGAAGAAATGGAAAAAAAAATTGGAACGCTCGACCCCAGAGAGAGAGAGAGAGAGAGAGAGAGAAAGTCGCCATACAGATAGAGAGAGTGAAGAAAAAATATTAATTTAACCCTAAACAGTGTGGAAAGTGTTAAAAAAAATAAAACAGTGGTGAAATTCATTCATTACCGGACATATATACGACAGGACGAATCCATCCATTTATATATCCATCATTTTTCAAATTGTGTGTGTTTGTGTTATTGATAATTTTCATTCGTCATATTTTCGATAGATGTATGGATGCTAATGAACTTTTTCTTCATCGAAAAATGAAATGATTGTCTAAATAGAGAAATTTCTGAAAATATTGAAGAAATTGAACCCGTCGAGTTCCAAACTAACCAACTAACAACGACAAAAACAACAACAACAAAATGAACATCCAACAAAATTTTCCAATTCTAAAAATCATTCAAGCATCTATGAAACCCAAACATTCAAATGTGGATTAATTATCTTGCATGTCATTCATTTTCGTTTTCATTTTCATTTTTTTATCGTTTTGACAATAACATTTGGTGAGCCAACAAAAAAAAAAAGAAAGAAGAAATTAATGAATGAAAATCAATGGAATTTCCATTGATTTGCATCATCATCATCATCATCATTATTTTTGGTCCGGAAATTATCATTGAATCCGGTTAACACAGAAAGAACATTTCATGTAATCTATATAGAGAGATGCTCAACAAAAACAAACCAAAAAAAAATTATTCAACCCTTTTTTATAGGATCAAATTCATTCATTTATCAGAGAGAGAGAGAGAGAGAGAGAGAGAGAGAGAGAACAGCACGAAAAAAAATGTCAAAAAAAAAATTCATTTGTTGTTGATGTCAACATTTTTTTTCCATTCATTCATTCATTCATTTAACAAAATAATGGGTTGGAAACTGAATCGAAAAAAACAACCAAAAAAAACATAAATGATGTGCGTGTATTTCGTATTTCCCAGTTTTTTTCCCAATGTTTTTCTGCATGATGCGGTTATTTTGTACAAGGAACTAAACGATCATTTTGTTGTTGTTTTTGTTGCCAAAACATGATTCTGATATGAAATAAAAATATAGTTAGGGCAGGACATATTTCAAACCAAAACTAAGGTCCCAAACATTCAAATAAACAAACAAACAACAACAATGTTAGTGATAACCGAATCAATTGAATATTTTTTTTTGTGTTTTTTTCGCATTTACATTCCACCCACATAGCCCTATAAACAACAACAACAACAACTGGAGCAAAAAAAGGGAGAAAGGAAATCAAATCGAAACGAAACAAACAACCATATGGAACAAACATAATGCATTTGAGGATAGAGCAAAGAGAGAAAGGGAGAAAATTGAGAATACAGAGAATCTCTATTCACATCGTGCAGACCTAGCCAAAAAAAAAAAATTGGTCAATTCAGCCAATCATGTTGGCAAAAATACGCATTCTCGAATAATATATATAGACATCATACACATCGTACACAAACATACAAACAAACATCATTATTATCATCAAAGTGATGATGGATGGATGGATGGATGGATGTGTTTACTGTGTTATCTATTACCCATAATGCTATATATATAGATTCAATGTATATATTTTGAAATGAATCGATAACAAATCAATAAAAAGTTTGTTGTTTTTTTTCAAAATTCAAATTGAGAAATTTCCCAGAAAAAAAAATAATCATTGTTTTCTGGAAAACATTTTTTTTTCCAATGAATCGTTTGTTTATTTGATTCAATCATCAAAATGAATGAATGAATGATCATCACCACCGTCATTATCATTCGCGCGCGAGGATGTTTTCTCAATGATAATAAATTTTGTTTTTTTTTCAAACGATGTTTGTTTGTTTGTTTGTTTGGTGGATGATGATTTGAACATTTGAAAAAGGTAGTTGGATTTTTCTTTCATTTCATTTCATTTCTTCAGTTAGCTTCATTTTCCATTGAAAAATGAAATAATAATAATTTGTTTTTTTTTCGTTGCCAAGGTCGATTCGATTAGCGAAATTGAAAATGATTTTCATTTTCAATTTTGAATTTTGACAAACAAACACAATTTGTTGTTGTTGTTGTCGGATGTTTATATTGGATAAATAACAACAACAACAACAACAAAATGATTTTTCTTTTTCTGGGGATAATGTAATT